TCTCAAGTCTTCACCTTGCAGCAGTCGGGGTTGATATCGAGTGTGCAGGCGGTGCAACTGCACCGGGTGGGGAACACGGGCCCAGAGGGGGCCCAATGAGACATTTGTAACGGGGGTGGGGGGGCTGGGGGGTCTTGCCTTGGGACCCAAGTCAACTGCGCTGCGCCAGTGTACCATTTGATGCATGTTGTAGAGTAGAGTGTGATTAGAGTGTACGGCAAGGGCTCTGGCTGGTGTAAAACACTTTGTTATGATGTTCTCGAAGGACAAGAAGGGTTACATTTGGCACACATGTAACTGAGTACATTACTCTTTACTACAAAAATGCGAAAATCAACATTGACGAATTTGGACCCCCAAAAGCAATTAGGGTGTGGAGTTTGATTGGCTTCACGATTCTAGCAGGGTCAGCCGACAATGTCTACATTGCTTTAAGTCTCATTCTAAAGGCTGACGAATATGCAATCATCGGTGAACCAAGTAATTCGCCTGCCGTGGAGTGTGACGCTGGAGTCCATAGAAAGTTGTGCAAGACCCCTTGTGGGCTCCTCGTCGTGGGCTACTCGATACACATGGAGGTGTTGTTTTTGCAAATCTCCTTATGCTTATGTATTACAATGTTTAGATGTTGTTATTTTTTTATAATTTGCTGAGCGCTGTATATTATTGATAGATTGATAATATTGATATTAAATACAATATTGATAATAACATCGCTACTCAACGATTCGAATAATCTTCTCGTTTTGAGATCGCCACTTGATTGAACAATATTTTATTTTATTACATTCTGATCGACGTAGCGGTCACTAGTGGCTGCGAAGTGAACGAATATAAAATCGTCGACTCATCACATCCTGCATCCATCGCGAGCAATACGTCCGTGCGCTCGGCGAGAAAGTTTTATTTTGGCTACAGTTGCACGGCAACAAACGGTGTGTGGCTCGTTCGAACGATTACAAAGGTGTGTGGCACACACACCCATTAGCGTAATCGTTACTTAACCGATTACTTCATGCGAGATATGTATGATGGACTTCTTTCGCACCGTACGTAGCCGACCGTGCTAACGACACAGCTCACGGAAGTCGTCGCATGCCTGCCACGATGGTAGGCGGCCGTCCAGGCTCAGCCTCGTCCCGTTCCTGCGACGTGGCGAGACGACAGACATTCGGGCTCATTGGTTTCTATGCAACCACTTCTCGAGCAACCGGTTGGTGCTCGATTTTTTTTCCGGACCGGTTCACAACGGTTCAGAATACCGGACAAAAACACATGTTGGCACGTGACATCATCCATCTCGCTTTAAAGCGTTCGTGACTGCAGGGATTCATCTTCTTGGTTCTTTCGGTAAAGTCACGTAGAAGGGAAACAATAATTTATATTATTTTATTATGTTTTATTTGTATTTTTATTATTTTATTATTTCCCTTCTACGTGACTTTACCGAAAGAACCAAGAAGATCATCCATCTCGCTTTAATTTGTGCTCAGGATTCTGCGGTGGTTGTTACATAGGGTACAGCAACAACAACAATAATATAATGGTCTTGTGAATCTGCGTATACATTGAACTCTAGTTGTAGTGCCTTATGCCGATAATCCCTATTCCAAGCTCAATCAGTTTCGCAAGCATTCTAGAAAATATGGAGAGAGAAATTAATCCGTGCAAATATAAATACACAGGTAAAGTCGACTGCATGGAAAACGGGTAGACTGTAGAGACGTTGACTATACACAGCTTGCTTGCATTTAACCAATGCTGCTGCTGCTGCTACTGCGCACTCCCAGAAAGCAATGCGGCTCATTGGCCGCACCTCCGACTAGCACGCCGGGCTATGTACGGTGCGAAAGAAGTTCAACTTACTTACATAAAACTGGCACAATACGCATTGCAAATGTCATTGGAAATTACAATCGACAATTACGTTTCTATAGAAGTTTCAATAGAGTGCTGATATCGGTATTAATGGGATGTTTGTTCTTATTGTTACCCGTCCCAAAATACCGGCTCAGGGAGCGAGAGAGAGAAGCGACTCACACGCACACAGCACGCACACGTGCTTCTTTAATACACGCCTACGCCGCGACCATAAATACGACTTGTCGATAACGCGTAGGGCGGGCGGGGGGGTCGAGTGTAACATTGTCTCTGTGTATACACCGGGGCAACGCGCGCTCAGAGATGCGTGTGGCCCAGGAGTATAGTCAAGCGCGCTCCGCGGGTCTCGCACCTGCAATTCATCCGCCGCACGAAGAGGTCCCTTTAACTCGTGAAGAGCTCTAATCAGAGACATGCAGCCGTCACAGGCGCGTGACAGACACAATGTTGAGTGTGCGTGTTGCTTTTATGGGGGAGCGGTAGCGTGTGGGGAGCGGTTGGTTGCGCTGCGCTACGAACCTGGCGACCCGGGTTCGATTCCCGCTCACGGCCAACACCGGTGACGATTATCTGAACCGGTCCTCGGCCTTCCCGAGGCCAACTCAGCCTCAAATGCGTACTTTGTGCGATGCGTAAATATCGCCACGAGGGAGACAAAGGCGGCCCTGCGTGTTGCTGGCCACCCACCCCCGCGTGTGCCGTTCCAGCCTTCATAGGTGCTCGCTAACAGCACTGGGCCCAGCAAGGCTATACGGGGGATCTTTGTCTGTGCTTTGCTGCGCGTTCTGCGTGTTTGTGTTGGGGGAGCGGCGACTTCTGCGCGCACTGCGCTACGCGACGCGGCCGGCTGAGTTCCATTCTCCGGCCACGGCGATTGTCAGTAGCGAATCTCTGAAGTGGTCCTGGGGGTTAGGATCGACTCACGTTTTAAAACGAGGACTTGATGCGGTTCTGTGTAAATATCGGCACGAGGGGAGACAAAGGCGGCCAGGTATGATGATGAACACACACCACCGCCTCTTCGTGTGCCGTGCCGAGCTTCATAGGCGCGCTCGCTAACAGCACTCACCCCAACAGTCTGTCAAGGCTATACGGGGAATCTTTGTCTTTGTGTGGCAAGCGGTGGCGCAATGCGCTTGGAACCCGAGTTCGAATTTCGCTCACGACCAAAAACATTGGCGAATGTTAGAATCGGTTCTGCGCCACTAGGGAGACAAAGGCGGCCGGGCGAGGTTCTGGCTACCCCCCCCCCCCCCTCCCTCGTGTGCCGTGCCGGCCTTCGGGGGTACTCGCTAACAGCCCTTGCCCCGAACAGGATGTGAATACTATACGGGGGATCTTTGTATGTATCTTTGTGTGTGCACACAATGTTAACGTGGCATCATTCTTCGCCGTTCGGATGTGGAGCGCGACTCTGTCGCTCAGGAATGTTCAGAGTGGGCACGCACGCTCGTAATGGGCCTCAAGACACAAGCACTCAACTTGATGCGCGCTCGATGTGGCTCGGGATGACAGTGATGGATGGAGCGGGTTTAATTTTTTTCTTCGGGAAGGAATTTGTCACGACCACCGGCATTGTAACACCTTGTATACGGCTTGATTGCGGTTTAAATAGACCGACATTTAGCTTCACGCTGTGGTTAATAAGAATTGTATAGCCTAGAGATGCAGTGGCGCAGCACAGCAAAGCGCATTGCTGTGCTGTGTTGAACTTAAACATCTCCCCCGTCTCGACCGGCGTGCATTGGCCACCGTGTTGAAGTATGGTGAAGTGTGGTGAAGTATGGTGAAGTATAGTGGAGTATGGTGTAGTGTGGTGAAGTGTGGTGAAGTATGGTGAAGTGTGGTGAAGTATGGTGGAGTATGGTGGTGTATGGTGGTGTGTGGTGAAGTGTGGTGAAGTATGGTGGAGTATGGTGAAGTGTGGTGAAGTGTGGTGAAGTATGGTGAAGTATGGTGAAGTATGATGGAGTATGGTGAAGTGTGGTGAAGTGTGGTTAAGTGTGGTGAAGTATGGTGAAGTGTGGTGGAGTATGGTGAAGTGTGGTGAAGTGTGGTGGAGTATGGTGAAGTGTGGTGAAGTATGGTGAAGTGTGGTGGGGTATGGTGGAGTATGGTGAAGTATGGTGGAGTATGGTGAAGTGTGGTGGAGTGTGGTGAAGTGTGGTGAAGTATGGTGAAGTATGGTGAAGTGTGGTGGAGTGTGGTGAAGTGTGGTGAAGTGTGGTGAAGTATGGTGAAGTATGGTGAAGTGTGGTGGAGTGTGGTGGAGTATGGTGAAGTATGGTGGAGTATGGTGTAGTGTGGTGAAGTGTGGGGAAGTATGGTGAAGTGAAGTATGGTGGAGTGTGGTGAAGTATGGTGAAGTGTGGTGAAGTATGGTGAAGTGTGGTGGAGTGTGGTCAAATAACCTCCACGACCCGACGCTGCCTTGGGAGACCCTCAGCGAGCAGTGGATTGACATCGAGGGTTGTAGATGTGCGCACGAAGAACGGCGTCTTCCAGTTGTACACAAAGGCGTGGTGGGGTGGATGGGAGAGGGGAGACAGGGGCGGGATTGTACAAGTGGCGCAGTGGTTAGCACATTGGACGACGAACCCGGTCACCCGAGTTAGATTCCCAGCCAGGGCTACCATCAGTGGTGAGTGATATCTAAACCGCTCCTGGGCTCCCATCCTTTCAACCAATCCGCGATGACCAGCGTGGTAACGTGTGGTCTAACAATCTCCATGATCAACACGACGTTGGGATAGCTTCTTCCGGCAGTGGATTGATGAAACTCTGTACCGTACACGGCTACTGTATAAGCAATGCATAGTCTGTACGTCTGTAAAGATATTAGATCTCTGTATCGTAAACGTGTCTGATACACAATTGCTCAGCGTTCTTGATAGGCGCATGTCGGGCCGTCGTGCTGCTAATTAAACACATTCGTCAATAACGTTGTACTCTTTAAAGGATAGCGTATGCATGTTTAACTTCTTTCGCATCGTACGTGAAAAAAACTTGCTAATCGGAGGTGCGGAAAAGTATATGATCCGCGACGTTTCGGACCATGCCCCTGGTTCATTTGTGTGCTATAAAGAAATACCAATGTGTTGATTGTTGTTTGACCGCAGACGGTGAATGCACTTACGGGTTGACTCGAGCCGGGAATTGAGATCACGTGGAACTGCCAGTGCCCCGTCGCCTCGATTGGATTCACAACCTGCCAACTGTTCACAATGCGCACACGGCGATCCAGCCATGGATTTCTCACTAAAATAATCGTGAGAAAGTAGAGAAAACTACATTTTATTTGAAAGTCTCAAAATGTATTTCACCAATCTTAATCGGAACATTACATCTGTTAACTCGCGTCTCTGTGAGATATACTATCGAGCCGTCGCTGCTCACAATATTCAATCGGCTCTTGGGAAGAAATAGGCTAATTAGAAATCATTTTTAACGTGAGCCTATATATATGAATCAAACCATCAAATTTCGCGGGTGTTAAATTAATCAACAGAGCCCGCGCATCAATTGTTCAGCTCATGGGGGTGTCTCATCACATCAACACAATTGCCGAATTCTATTACATATAATCTATTAATTGGTTGGCACATTACGATGGTAAGATTCCAAATAAGTCAACTACCGTAATACTCCGGTTCACATCGGGGATGCGTTCCTGATGGGCGCGACGACGAATATCGAAACGACGTCAACCGAAGCGATGTACAGGGTAGGCGCAGCCTGGGGCGACGGATAACGAGTAAGGACGGGTGATGCGGTCAGCGACGTGAGTGTGGGGGGGGGGGGGGGGTAAGGCGACGTGAGTGTGGGGGGGGGGGTTCAGGCGACGTAAAGCGGGTAGCGGTGTTAATAAGGTGACGACGTAAAGGGGGGGGGGGTCGAGACGTAAATCGGGGTATTACTGAGCTCGGATGCAGACAACGGCGGTGTCACTCCATCCACTCCACTGCAGCTGCAGCACCACCGCGCGTAGTGCCTGCCGCGTGTGACCACTCCGTTCCCTGGACGTCGATCGGTGTTCTCTTATCAGCCGGGGATTCACCGCTTGCTCAATGTGAGTGTAATCAATGGTTCATTAATGCCTTGCATGTTGCTGTTGTTATATAGATTTGCGCTAAACATTTCACATTTGTCTCTTCATTCGCTGGTGCGTGCTTTGTTGATCAAATACACAAATACACGGCAACGGTGTCACGTGACATGTTGTGCTTATAGTCGATGCATCTGTCGATATTGTTTTGCAACTATTGCACCATTTTTATTTCGCTCAGTGTTTGTATTTGCTATTGGAAAACACACTTGTACTATTAAAGAAACAGTGTAATCGCAACGATCTCTAACCTGATTATAAATATTGTTGTTGTTGTTGTTATAATAAATAAAGAATTGCTCTTGTTGCTGTTGTTGTTGTTGCTCTTGTTGTTGTTGGTGGTGGTGTTGTTGTTGTTGTTGGTGGTGGTGGTGTTGTTGGTGGTGGTGGTGTTGTTGTTGGTGGTGTTGTTGTTGGTGGTGGTGTTGTTGTTGGTGGTGGTGTTGTTGGTGGTGGTGGTGTTGTTGTTGTTGGTGGTAGTGTTGTTGTGTGCAATATGATGGGGAGTGGTAGCGTGGTGGTTAGCGCGAAACCGACCACCAGAATTAAATTCCTGTCACAGCGATCATCGGTACCTATGCCTTGTGACAGCATCAGACGAATACCTGAACCAATTATAGGCCTCGTCTAGGTCGACTCAACCTTAAATGCGCACACGGTGCCGTGTGTAAATATCAGCATTGGGGAGACAAAGGCGGCCGAGCATGGCGTTGGCCGCCCACCCCATTTGTGTGCCGTTTTGGCTTCGATAGGTGCTCGCTAACAGCACTTTCGAGTATTTATGGTATTTGGCTGCGATACATTTCTATGTGATGACGAGCCACTTCGTTGAGCGATAATTGTGATATCCAGGTCGCTTCTGAGCTTAGCATGCCTTGCCTGGTAAAATGAAATTAATGAAATGAATACTTGCCCTACGAGCATGCAAGAGTCTGTTAAAGGCTCTATGGGGTATTTTGGAATCTATCTTTGTGTGCTACATATAATAAAGCGTAGGCGTGGCAAAGCATTGTACCTTGTTACAATATCGCTGTTGACATGCGTAGGTCCACGCCAACTCGGATGACCCACGCCTCTCCCGATATGCCCACAGCCGCGTCTCACGTCGCGATGACGACTCTGCATGCAGCTACGCACAAGCTGAGTGTGACGATTGGGTCACAGGGAGCGTTACACTGATTAGAACCAGTGGCTCACTCAAGTGTGAACATACCATTCGCAGCAGAAGCCGCAATGTAGCGTGTGTTAAATCAATTAGCATAGTCGCCTTCTGGATGGAGAGGTGCAGTGGTGTAACGAAGTCCGGTAACCTGAGTTGGATTCCCCGTCACGGCTATACCACCGTGTCATCGCAACCGGCCTTGGGCCCACCTCTTTACCAATCCGTACAGAGCAGCGCGGTGAAGTATGGTCAAACAAACCCCCCGTCAACTACAATGACTGGGAAGTCATTCATCCGAGAGTGGTGTATCAACAAATGGCTGTGAATGATAAGTAACGATTATAATAATTTACATTTGTAAGGTGCAATTCGTCTTGGGATCTCAGTGCACGTAATTAGACGCACATATTCTTTTTAGCACACCATTGTTGATTGCGTTCAGGAACAAATGTTAACCACCATGTTCGCGGAGACTCAAGTTCGATTCCTGGCCACTGCTCTCAGTGGCGTGTTCCACTGCTGGTGGGCCGGCTTCGTGGCCTCCCCCTTTCACTACCCCGCACTGACCAGCGTGGTGAAGTATGGTCACACAACCTCCATGACTGAGACGAAGTGGGGAGCCTTTCATCTAACAATGGTTTGAAACACAGCCGCACATCATTATTCGTATTGTAATAAATACTATACTATAGCGCACCCGGTAATACTTGCTCATCATTCGAACAGAAGCATCAGCAGAGATCTCAAACCTCATGCGTGGGACGTTCGGGAAGGCTTCACTTACGCGTGATGACACGGTAACACCGACCACCTCCGATTTGTATCACCATGTGCAGATGAACGATAGTGGATTAGTTTGAAAACCGCGTGTGCGTTTCTCTGCGTGTTTCTCAAATAAACAAAAGCGGAGTTGAAATGCACGGGTAATGCAACCAAGCAACTCAATGCAACCACGTGCAGCGTAATGCAACTACGTGCAGATCAACGCAACCACGTGAAGCAAGTCGCCCAATGCAACAAAGCATCTCGCTTGGCCGCCTGCGGGAGAGAAACACAACCCCCATCAACAAACACATCAATCAATCAGCGTCGCACTTATCCCGTAATCAGGTGGGAGCCCATTGACACGCAACGTCTGCCTTTGTTCAAGAACAGCTGAGAGAACGCAGGTAAGCAACACATATCTGGCGGTTACATTGAATCCACATGTGCACATAGCCGGTAGGGCATACCTACGCCAATTGCAATCGCCCCGCATGATTGTATCGTCTTTACTGTGGCATTGCCCGCGTCTGACCTGGACTAATTAATGAATGCCAGTTGTGCTTGGGGCTGCAATCTTAGCCCCGAGCATGGGGTAACAGACTACACCGGGACGCAGGCGGTGGGCGAGCGAGAAGAGTGGGAATTGGGCAGAGAGGGTCCATGTCACTCCTCGCACCAGGGCCCATGCCAAGCCGCTCACTCTACGCCATTCCTATCTTTCTGTAGTCAGGCGCTTACTTACTACTCGTGTGTGTGTGCGTGGGGCGTAGTGGGGAGCGGTGGCGTAGTGGTAAGCACGCTGCGCTACGAACTCTGCGACCCGAGTTCGATTCTCATTCACGGCCAACACCAGTGACGATTATTATCTGAATCGGTCCTGGGCCACCCCTAGGTCGACTCCGCTTTAACGACTACTTGGTGCGGTGTGTTGTAAACATCGCCACTGGGGAGACAAATGCGGTCGGGCGTGGCGCTGGCCACCTACCCCCTCGTGTGCCGTTCCGACCTTCATAGGTGTCACTCACTAACAGCACTTGCCCCAACAATCTGTTAAGACTTGTTCTGTTTATTAGTGTGTGTGTGACGGTCAAATGACTCCGTGTGGGGATGCCTTCATTCATCTAGCAGTGGATTTACAAAGAGGTTTCAATTTATTGTATTGACACTTCGAGTTGATTACCGAGCAATACACGAAACGACGATGATAAAACTCGGTAAAAAATCGGACAAAATGTGATAATTTATGATGATGATGTCGTTAACAATTATGGGATCCACGTAATGCTTCTACGTTGCGACGGAGAAGAAATAGTGGGTCTAGATGTACAACCACGTAGATCTCGACCTAGTGCGTTATGTATTTTATATACACGTGTATTGAGATGTATTGTCTAGACGTGTTCTCCAGACATGTACGTAGACTAGTAGTTTATGGACATGCATATCGACGTGTTCTATAGAGGGTATGTGTATTCTGTAAACATGTCTATTGGGATGTATTCTATGTGTGGCATGTGTATAGACACGTGTTATATCGAGGTCATGTATTCTATAGACGTAATCAGACATCAGAATCGTTATTTAGACTGCAGGAGAAATCCGATGAGCTATGAAGCTCTTTTCCACAGATGCCCAGACGTATCCGATAGGCATCTATATAGATGTGTAGTCTCTATAAAGGTGTTATGGATGTCACACACACGCTATGCATTCAACACAGATGCAATTAAAAAACTAATCTAATCAAGATAATTAAACAACTGAAGATAATTAAACCACTATAAATTGTTCAATTAGACGCGTGCATGTTGTCACATGTAAAAACGCACCTGCCTTCAACACATCACATTTAATTAGCTTCACTATCATGACACTTACCTTGAGAAGTAATGTGCACACATACATATCTACATACACAAGGTGGACGAAATGTGCAATATGTATACATATGTTTGTCATAGGCGACGTTTCGGGTAACATACGGTATACACATATATATTGTATTATATACCATGCACCTTTAATGCTTTATATATAGATAATATACATATACGCGAGAAATCAATGTTAGCCGTAGTTAAGCCGAGTTATAATTTGATTTGAGTTGTATCATGATTCGTGTCATTGTATCTAAACAATGCTCTCCTTGACGATACAGTGTCTCGTCGCCAGCCTTGCTTGCATCAATGCTAGCGAACTCTCAGGTGCTCTTGGCAAGGACCCTCTCCGACAAAGATAGCTCCGAGTTCAACGATTTTTTGAAAATTAAATTATTATTGATCATCATTGCACTCAATCGGTTTCGACATTATGGGTCTCATCAGCAGAGTCAAGCTTGTTAAACACATTCAGCCAGATTAGCAGATGTGATTGGTTACGATCGCTGCGTATCACATATGGCAGCCGCATACGAACGCGGAGAGCAATGCCGTTCTCATTATGCTGCCCTATGGCATTATTTGTCAAAGCAAATATAAGTTGAACTCCGTTCCGTGTGCGCACATAAATACAACCATATTTTAGTTCATTATCCTATTCGCAATTTTACAAACAGGTGAGTATGACTTACACACATTGCTTTGACTTTACCCCTGCTCGGGGCTAAGATTGTTCATATAGGGGCAAAGACAAAGATCCCCGTATAGCCTTAACAGACTGTTGAGGCAGGTGCTGTTAGCGAGTAGCACCTATGCAGACCAACACGCACGGCACACGAGGGGGTGGGTTACCGGACACCACGTCCA